CCCCCCCTCCAGCGTCAGCCTCCGTCCTCTCAGGTACTTTGAGGACGTGACGGCGGCTGTGTCCAAGGTCGGGCGGCAGCTCCAGGACCTTCTGACGGAGACTTGGACCATCGTCTCGCAGGCCCAGGTGGACGCTCTGCTGTCACAGCTGGAGCCAAGGACCAGGGAGGAGTTCCTACGGTACTCCCAGGAACTGACCCTGGATCTGTGCACGGCTCACCCGCAGCTGCTGGTGTCCGGGGGGGGGAGACGGGTGGAGTTCTCCTTCAAGGAGCAGCTGTATCCTCCTCACCCGGACCGCTTCGCTCACGTGAGTCAGATCCTGAGTGAACAGGGTCTGACGGGCCGTCGGTACTGGGAGGTGGAGTGGAGGGGCGGGGGGGTCACGGTGGCCGTCACCTACAGGAGCATCAGCAGAACCGGGCTCTTGGCCCAGTGTGGGTTCGGACGTCGTGACGAGTCCTGGGCTCTGTTCTGTGACCAGACCAGCTGTGACTTTGGACACAACGGTACCTGGACCAAGGTCTCGGGGGGGGTCTCCCCCAGGATCGGAGTGTACCTGGACCACGCTGCAGGGGTCCTGACCTTCTACAGCGTCTCCGACACCATGACCCCCCTCCACAGGGTCCAGACCCGGTTCACTGAGCCGCTCTACGCTGGACTCAGGTTCCACTACTATCCTGGAGACACGGCCCAGTTCTGTGAACTCGGCTCACTTTCCTGTAAACACTGATTACAGGTGTGTGTGTGTGGGTGTGTGTGTGTGGGTGTGTGTGTGTGTGTGTGTGTGTGTGTGTGTAATTACGTGTAATTTGTCGGTGTGGCTCAAACAAAAGTCAAATATCTGGTTCTTCTTTCACGAACAGAAACTGTTCCTCATTAAAGTCAAATATCTGGTTCTTCTTTCACGTTCAACAGAAACTGTTCCTCATTTAACTGAACTTTTTTCCTAAAGGGTCAAAAATGATTTAATTGTTTTAAAGGAATTTTTATGATGTTGTTTTGTTAAATCTGGTTTAAAATCACATTCAAATTCAACTCTGTTTTATTAAATATTAAATTTCAAATCAATCATTAAAACAATAAAGTAAATAAAGTAGGTTTTTTCTTGTTTTCTCCGATTATTTGGTCCAGAACAAATTTTCTTTTTTCATCTTCGTTCCTCATTCTTTAAATTCCCACTCAGTCCGACTCAGGAAGTCCGACTCCTCTGAGGAGTTCTGAGGGACGGCGTACGACTCACCCAGGAAACGTACGACGCGCCTCAGCAGTGGGTTGAAGTAGCAGCAGTCTGCAGTGACGATGGTCTTCTCCTGAGCGCCCCCTGCCTTCGTGAAGAAGACACACAGCTCTCCAACCAGGATCTGGGAAGACCAGGAAAAACCAGGAACCAGAGGTTGAGCCACCATCAAATACATACATATATAAATATATGAAACTAAAGATTTGGAGTTCAGAGTTCCACGGAGAAACCTGAAGAACGAGTTCATCATTCACCTGGTTTAGGCTGATCTTCACTGAGACGGAAATAACGAAAAGATTATCAGAAATGTTGAGCTGCAGTTTCAGCTACAGTAACAGTACAGTACAGTGCAGGACAGTGCAGTGCAGTGCAGTGCAGTGCATTACAGTACAGTGCAGTACAGTACAGTGGAGTAAAGTACAGTACAGTGGAGTAAAGTACAGTACAGTGGAGTACAGTACAGTGGAGTACAGTACAATACAGTGGAGGACAGTGCAGTACAGTGCAGTACAGGACAGTACAGTACAGTATAGTGCAGTACAGTACAGTGGAGTACAGTACAGTGGAGTACAGTACAGTGGAGTAAAGTACAGTACAGTGGAGTACAGTGCAGTACAGTGCAGTACAGCGCAGTGCAGTACAGTGCAGTGCAGTGCAGTGCATTACAGTACAGTGCAGGACAGTGCAGTGCAGTGCAGTGCAGTGCAGTGCATTACAGTACAGTGCAGGACAGTGCAGTGCAGTGCATTACAGTACAGTGCAGGACAGTGCAGTGCAGTGCATTACAGTACAGTGCAGGACAGTGCAGTGCAGTGCAGTGCAGTGCATTACAGTACAGTGCAGGACAGTGCAGTGCAGTGCAGTATAGTGCAGTACAGTACAGTGCAGGACAGTGCAGTGCAGTGCATTACAGTACAGTGCAGGACAGTGCAGTGCAGTGCAGTGCAGTGCAGTATAGTGCAGTACAGTACAGTGGAGTAAAGTACAGTACAGTGGAGTAAAGTACAGTACAGTGGAGTACAGTGCAGTACAGCACAGTACAGTGCAGTGCAGTGCAGTGCAGTGCAGTGCAGTACAGTACAGGACAGTGCAGTACAGTACAGTGGAGTACAGTACAGTGGAGTAAAGTACAGTACAGTGGAGTACAGTACAATACAGTGGAGGACAGTGCAGTACAGTACAGTATAGTGCAGTACAGTACAGGACAGTACAGTACAGTACAGCTCTGTATAATTAGCCATGTGTGACGTCACAGCGTCAACTTCCTGTCTCTAATCCTGTGGTTTTTAATCTTTTTCCATCTCATAAAAACAGAAGCTGAGCTGCAGCGTCACTAATCCGTCTTTTCCACCGACGGAACATTCCGGGCTTCATCTTCTTTGTGGGTTTATTTACTTCTCTAGATCCAATTTCATGCCCTCATTTTCTAAATTTGCGCTTCCCAAAAAAAAACCCAATTCCTGCGTCTGTGAGTCGGCTGTTTTATCTTCCCTCCAGTTCCGCTCTTCCTCGCTGCTGCTTCTCCGTTTCTGTCCGTCGTTCTCCGTCGTCTACAGATCAGTCCGACTGAGGCTCACGGCTCCGAGGAATCTCTGGGACCAATCAGCAGCATGAACAATGGGATGTGTGTGTGTGTGTGTGTGTGTGTGTGTGTGTCTTATTCTGCTCAAAGTTTTCTTGAAAATCTTTCCTTTACGATTTCTTGGAACTGTGGCCAAGTGGTGATGGGTTTGAATCCCAGCCCTGACTAGAATCTGGGTCGTGAGCCTCAGACAGGGGGCAGTGCAGCTCTCTGCTGTTCCTGACCCATGCTCTGATGTCAGCGGTTGTTGAAGGGTCTCAGGTTCGAGTCCCGGCCTGACTGACTGAACTTGTTTCTCATTAACGCACGTCTACAGTGGGAGTTTTTTTATCATTTATTTTTCCCCTGGGGAGTTCATTAATCAGGACTGAGCTCAGAAACTGGAGTTCACTGGAAACACAGACAGCAGACGACGTTTGGATGTAGTGAGAAAGAGAAGGAGCAGAGGAAGAAGATGATGAAGATGATGAAGATGATGAAGATGAAGATGATGATGATGAAGATGAAGAAGATGATGAAGATGATGAAGATGATGAAGATGAAGATGAAGATGATGAAGATGAAGATGAAGATGATGAAGAAGCTATAGAGTGACACATGGTGATCATGATTTTCGCCGCCACAAGAGTTCCAGGAAGAACAGGTTCACATTGGACTTTTGTGTCAGTGTCAGCAATAACCCCCCCGCCCCTCCGCCCCCCCGCCCACACCATCTGCTCCATTAATATAAGTGGCCTGTCTGTCCGGTGTCTGTGGTGAAAGTAGAGGTCAGGGACTGTGTACTCGATGCAGTACTCGATGCAGTACTCGATGCAGTACTCGATGCAGTACTCTGAAGTGAACAGACTGTTGGAGGAACTGAGCATGAACTGCAGAGAGGTCGATATTCCTCTGGGGGCACTAAAGTGTTTTTTCATGTCTGTCCACTGACCGTGTGAGGACACGCTGCAGCTTTGAGGACAAAGTCGGGGGTCACTGACAGCACGGGGGGGGGGGACACAGAAAAACACAGAGGTTTAACAAGACAGGAAGTATAGACTGAGGTGTTGGTTCGAATCCTGACACCGCGGAGCAGAGACACGCTGAGGCACCGCTTCACACGTGAGCTGTTAATTGGGAGGTGAGGCAAACAGAGGTGTGAGGATGGGGCAAAAATAGCAAGGGAAGGGGCAGAAAGGGAGGGAGGTGTTGATGGGTTAGGGTTAGGTCAATCAGGTTCTGTGGTTCTACAGTGACAACAGAAAGACCAGCAGCAGGTCTGGAACCAAGAACCAGAAGAACCCTCAGGACCAGAAGAACCCCGAGGACCAGAAGAACCCTGAGGACCAGAAGAACCCTGAGGACCAGAAGAACCCTGAGGACCAGAAGAACCCTGAGGACCAGAAGAACCCTGAGGACCAGAAGAACCCTGAGGACCAGAAGAACCCTGAGGACCAGAAGAACCCTGAGGACCAGAAGAACCCTGAGGACCAGAAGAACCCTGAGGACCAGAAGAACCCTGAGGACCAGAAGAACCCTGAGGACCAGAAGAAACCTGAGGACCAGAAGAAACCTGAGGACCTGACAATTTCCCAAATGTCACACTGACCTCACTGACCGACCCATGTGACCGACTCAGGCCTGTCAGGTCTTGTCACCTTATACACACGTTGGTTTTTGTATGTGTTGAAGTAGTGTTGAAGTACTGGTGACGTGTTGAAGTACTCATGCAGTAGCTGAGGTACTTCACTATAACAAGTACAAGTTCAGAACTTCATCTGGTCACTGATCTGAGCTGCTGTTCGTTTGTTTCTCCCGTCTCTCTCCCCCGTGCCTCCCAGTGTCTCCCCCTCAGACTCAGACTCTCTTTAATCTCCTCCTCCTCTAATGTCCAGGTGCAGTCACACACACACACACACACACACACACACACACACACAGAGGGTGACCTTCAGCACCACAGACCAGAAGGATGACCAACATCAAACCAACTTCTTGACACATTTCCACACACACTCCCCCGTCACTCTCACACCTCTACATCCACTCCGACACACACACACACACTCTTACCGTCAGAGTAGGGACGGCTGTGACCAGTGAGTAGACGAGGACCGGAGGGATCCTGCTGCTCTGCTCTGGACCAGGGTAGGGCTTGGAGAAGGTCTTGTCGTAGCAGAAGAAACCCTGGACGTGGACGGGGAAGGTGTCCGTGTACTCAAAGTAGTAAGCCAGCAGCACCGTCCCAGCCATGATCACCAGCTGGAAATAGAACATGATCGCTGCGTTAGGACGCCACAGGACGTAAGGTGAAGTAGAGGAGCAGCAGGAGGAGCAGGAGGAGGAGCAGGAGGAGCAGCAGGAGCAGGAGCAGGAGGAGGAGGAGGGAGAACCAGGTCCCTGTTCTCCTCAGCCACAGAGAGATTCATAGGAATTATGAAGCAGGAGACACAGACAGAGTGAGAGGTTCAGTATTAGAAACAAGACAGAGGGTGAGGGAACGAGGGAGAGAGAGAGAGAGAGAGAGAGGGAGAGAGAGAGAGAG